TTCCTTCCTTCCTTCCTTCCTTCCTTCCTTCCTTCCTTCCTTCCTTCCTTCCCATTTCCTTCCTTCCTTCCTTTTGGCTTGTTTTCAGGGCTGTTGGTTTGGAGGTGCGGGGTATCTCTCCCTTCCCTCTTCTTCCCCCCCTCCCTTTTTTTGAAATCTCTGTTCTCGTCCCTTTCTGTTGTAGGCATGTCTTGATGGTCGGGTTGGGGGTTGCGTTTGAGGGATTGAATGGGTCTGTCTCTGCGTTCTTTAGGAGGGTCCTCGTTGTGGGCTACGGCCTCCGGGATAAAATCAGCTCGTGCAAAAATACATAAATAAATAAATTGAGGGGTTCGCATACACGACTCGGGGAATAACCCCCACCCACCCCAAACAGGTGCGATGTGGGCCCTTCCTCCCAGTGAGAAATGTTTAAAATTTCTCCCGCAAATCAGATCTTGGATGGGATGAAGGACCAAAAGCTTTGAGATGGTTGAACCGAGGAACCAAGTAAGATATATTTGAGAAGGTCAAGGGTTCTGTGGGACGCAAATAATTCCCTTGGTGTTCGAAGAATCTTTTTGTTTCTTGGATGCTCCTGAGTACAAAGGAATGGTCTCTGTTTTTGAAGTCTTCTTGATTCCTTAAATCTTCTTCAAACAAATCGGTATTAGTTACTTCAGTCCTCTTGATTCAGGGGTGTGAAAAAATTAATCTTAGTGATTTGGATTCTTGGTTTGGACAAATTGGTACGAGTTATTTAAATCCTCTTAATTCTGAATCATTAGGGGAGTCCATTTCTCAGGCCCAATGATCTGGACGAATTGGTACCAGTGATTTAGGTCCTTTTTCCTTCGGACAAATTGGCACTCGTTACCTGAATTCCTTTGATTCGGAAAAAAGTAGGTGTCAAAGTTTAACTCAGATCCTCCTTGATTTGGAGAAATGAGGACCAATTACATGAGTCTTTCTTGATTGGGTGTATCAGTTATTTGGATCCAAGAGTTGGACAAAGTGGTAACTAACTTGGTTGGGTCCTTTTCATTCAGACCAATTGGTACTAGTTTCACGAATTTTCTTGATTCAGGGAAAAAAAGGGTGCAAAGTAATCCAGATCCTCCTTGATTTGGACAAACAAGGACCAATTACTTCTTGATTTGGAGCATCAATTATTTGGATCCAGAATTCAGACCAAGTTGGACCAACTGACTCTGGATCCTTTTCGTTCTGACAAATTGGGACCAGTTTCTTGAGTTTCCTTGATTCAGAATGATCGGTCCCCGTAAATCAGACCCTTCGTTTGGCCAAACGAGAACACCGGTGGCCCAAGTCCTCTCAGTGTTGAAGAATTGATATCTCTTACTTGGGTTCTCGTGATTTGGAAGAATCGGGGCGGTGGGGTGTCCGTGCTCAGATCCGCTTACTTTGTGTCGGTCCCAGATCCCCGGGGGGGAAGAATGGGGAAAGGTCTGTGCCAGAGGGACAGTCCATGCGAACTGATTTTATCCTTCAGTCTCGTTTCGTTTCTCTCTTTGTCCAAGAGAAGAATGTTGTTTTGTGGTCTGTGTTACCGAGGGGCGCCAGCTTCCCAATTCAAGTCCCTACCCAAACCCATGGCAAAAACAAACAAAAAAAAATTATATATATGTTGTGACAGTTGTGGTTGGGTGTCGTCGAAGCTTTCCAACCATGGGAGGTGGGGATGATGGTGGACACGGGTGTTTTAAAAGGGGGGGGTGGAAAAGACTGCCCCCCCCAACCAGGATCTTCCTCAGTTGTGAGCCACACTGTGTCAGTTTACAAGGGTGTCACACCCTTCTGTGTCTTCCTTGCTGTAGAGATGAGAAAGGACTTTGCGGGGAGCATCCCAAGATGGCAAACTCCAACCTCCAAACACGTCCGGTGACGGGGAGAGTTGGACCAACAGGGTTCTTGAAAGCAACCGCCTCCGCCGTAAACCCCTGTTGTTTACTGCTTGACTATAAGATGGGGGGTGGTCTTGGATCTCAGCCATCCTCCCCCTTTTTGAACACAATTACAAGCAAACCCCCTTTTTTTCTTTCACCTGCACCAGAAACGGTGTCATTTGGCAAACTCACTTTTTTACTCACCTTTGTTGCGAATCCCGTTGTCTCAGTCTCACAAGGGGATCCCGGAAGGAGAAACTTTAAAAAGTCTACTTGCGATCAAGGAAATCGGTGTGATTTTTGGCGGGGAGGAAGGGGGTGAAAAATCAGGCCCGGAAAGTCGTCAGCTTCCCCCAGCCGATGGCAACGACAAAATTGTAAACTTTCGTAACAACGTATTTTAAAAAAAGGAAAGCACCACTTTATCATAAAAGGGAGGGGGTCCCGTGGCTACCGCCAGTGTTTTCAAAAGTTTTCACCAACACCTCAGTGAGGGCTAGAAACGTGGTGGATCTTTGCATGAACTAAAGCGACGTGAACTTGAACATTTTTGCATGAAACAAAAAGGGTGGACTTTTCGCGTTTTAACATCCAGTCTGGGGTGGGTAACTCTGTTGCCTTAGCTTTGTGAGTTTATACGACTTTTTTGTTTCGTTTTATTTTTGTCTACGATGTTTTAGTTTTTAGGATGGGTATACAGACAGAGAACAAAATCCTCCCCATTTCTGGGGAGAGTTTGCATTTCTGGGTCCTCCCAAAAGCCACCCAACTTTTCAGGACATCCCAATCTGTATCTGTGCATGGTTTTCTGGCAACTGAGATCTTAAGAGCCTGACTTTCTATACAGCTGATACTGTAGATAGCTAGAACTTTATGAATAAGCTGGATTTGTTTCATCCGGTCGTTGATTTGAAATTTCTCAGCGTGTGATCTGAGGCCAATAAAAGGAACGACCGCTGGGTGGCGGATGGAGTCCCCTACCACACGTCTAAGGAAAAACCACCAACTCATATGGTTTGTGAGGGACTCATGAAAGGCCTCCTTAAGACTTATCTCCTGGGGTTACTCCATGTCTGTGGAGATTCTCCGTCATCCAGGTTGTCCCAAACGTGCTTTTTCAAGAGGCAGCCGGACTTTCTGGTTGTTGTTTTTTCCTTTGAAGATGTTTTGCTTCTCATCCAAGAAGTTTCTTCAGCTCTGACTGGATGGTGGAGGATGGATGGATTTATACTCCTTGCAGGCAGCTGGTCGTTTGCATCCTTTTAGCAGGTCATTAAGGTCACTGGGAGGTATATCTGTGTCAGCAGGCTCACCTGAGTGGTGCAACATCATCTTATCGACATCATCTATCTCCGATCTACAATATCCTCTATCAATCTATGACCTCATCTATCTCCAGTCTACAACAAAACCTTTCAACAGTTCCAAGAAGGCTCCCATTAATTTGCATCATTCAGATGGCCCTGAGGACACAGATAAACCTCCAAGTGGCCTCAACGACACTCTAAAAGGATGCAAATGACCAGCTGCCTGCAAGGAGTATAAATCCTTCCATTCCCCACCGTCCAGTCAGAGCTGAAGAAGCTTCTTGAATGAGAGGTGAAACATCTTCAAAGAAAAAAAAAACAAGAAAATCCAGTGGCCTCTTGAAAAAGCAGCTTGGGGCTGAACTCCATGTTGCATCTGTGAGATTGGATAAATCCATGCAAGGAAATCCCACGAGTGGATTCAGTGGGTTGCATTCAGATAATTTGGAAAATCGAAAATTTTGATTTGTCGGAATCCGGTTAGATTTTTTTCCAATCTAGCCTTCCTCTTTGGAACTTCAAAGCAATGATTCAGATCCCATCCATATTGCCATCGGCTTCCTGAATATTCTGATTTTCCAGTGGCATGAATTCAACAAAGGGGATTAAACTTGATTTCTATTTTTGAAAGCACGGTCCTTTGAAAGGGGCAATACGGGGTGGCGATATCCCCTACGAATGGCTGTCTAGATTGGTGGGAACAAGTTGTGTCTAACACAGTATATTTCCACCTGGAAAATTTAAGACGGGTGGACTTCAACTCCCAGAATTCCCCAGCTATGGCTGGCTGGGGTATTCTGGGAATTGAAGTCCACCTGTTTTAAACTTGCCAAGATGGACAAATACTGGTCCAAAGTTTTACCCTGATCCAGCAAAGGGATTTATGATCCATCGGTGCAAACCCACCAGGTCTCCGTCGATACGAGGAAAGCCAACAAGGAGAGGTCTTCAAGATATTTGTCTGCTGGAAAAAGAAACCCAAGATTAGTTGTGTATGTGTGTTTTTTGTGCAGCGCTGAGAGGGATGTCCTAATTGGAGGTGTTGTTTTGGCTCAGCGGGGCAAATGCCAGTTTTAAAAGCCTAGATGTCTCTTTCAGCATGCAACAATTACTTGCTTTGTGGATGTTTTCCTCTCTGATGATCCGGAGTTGGTTCATTTTCCAATCTGACTCCGGGACAGACAACAATGCTGTGCCTGGAATACATCGCTCTCTCCAAACAGATCAGCTGCTTTTGTGGTTTT